GCACTTTAAAGATTTTTTTTTTTTTAATTTTTTGTAGTGATTTGGGTGATAGTTTACAAAGCAAATTCATTTTCCATACAGCAGCTCAGAAACACTTTGTCTCATGACATTGACTGCAATTTCCCACAATGCAACAGCTCTCCTCCTACTTCCTCTCCATAGTTACCTCCTCCCTGTGTCCTTCCCTTCTATGCATTCCTGTCCCCTGAGCTGTCTCCCTGTGCATACAAAGCCCTTCTACCACTCTCCCAGGATTGATCTAAAGAGGATTTTTGCAGCAGATTTGCCCAGCGCAATACGTCATCTGATTTCTTGACTGATGCTTCCATGGGTGTTGACTGCGGAACCAAGTAATATGAAATCTCTGACAACTTCAATCTTTTCTCTGTTTGTTGTGATGCTGCTTATTGGCCCAGTTGTGAGGATTTTAGTTGTCTTTATATTGAAGTGTAATCCATACTGAAGACTGTAGTCTTTAATCTTCATCAGTAAATGTTTCAAGTTATCTTCATTTTCAGCAAGCAAGATTGTGTCATCTGCATATCGCAGGTTGTTAATGAGTCTTCCTCTCAAATCCTGATGCTACATTCTTCTTCATACTGTTCAGTTTCTCTAATTATTTGCTCAGCATAGAGACTGAATGATTGTGGTGAAAGTATACAGCTCTGACACACACCACTTCAAATTTTAAACCATGCAGTATCCCCTTGTTCCATTCGAACAACAGCCTTCTAGTCTATGTACTCATGAGCACAATTAAATGTTCTGGAATTTCCATTCTTCTCAATATTATCCATAATTTGTTATGATCCACACAGTGGAATGCCTTTGCATAGTCAATAAAACACAAGTAAACATCTTTCCAGTATTCTTTGCCTTGAGCCAAGATCCATCTGACATAAGCAAGGATATTTATTCCTCGTTCCATGTCCTTTTCCAAATCCAGCTTGTATTTCTGGAAGTTCTCTCAATATACTGCTGCAAACATTTTCAAATTATCTTCAGCAAAATTTTACTTGCACGTGATATTCATACATTGTTCGATAATTTCCACATTCTGTCTGATCACCTTTCTTTGGAATGGGTACAAATATGGATCTCTTCCAATCAGTTGGCCAGGAAGCTGTCTTCCAAATTTCTTGACATAGACGAGCGAGTGCCTCCAGTGCTGGATCTGTTTGTTGAAACATCTCAAGGGGTATTCTGTCAATTGCTGGAGCCCTATTTATTTTGCCAATTCCTTCACTGCAGCTTCAACTTCTTCCTTCAGTACTACTGGTTCTTGATTATACGTCACCTCTTAAAACAGATGAACATTGACCAATTCTTTTTTGTACAAGGACTCTGTGCATTCCTTCCATCTTCTTTTGATGTTCCTGTATCATTCAGTATTTTGCCCATAGAATCCTTCAATATTGCAACCTGAGACTTGAATTTTTTGTTCAGTTCTTTCAGCTTGAGAAATGCTGAGCGTCTTCTTCCCTTTTGGTTTTCTAACTCCAGGTCTTTGCATATTTCATTATAGGAATTGACTCTGTGTTCTCGAGCTGCTCTTTGAAATCTTCTGTTCTGCTCTTTTATCTCACCATTTCTTCCAGTTGCTTTAGCTACTCTCCATTGAAGAGCAAGTTTCACAGTATCTTCTGACATCCATTTTGGTCTTTTCTTCCTTTCTTGTCTTTTTAATGACTTTTTGCTTTCTTCATAGATGATGTTGTTGATACCCCACTATTCATCTGGTTTAGGTCACTGGTGCTCAATGTGTCATATTTATTCTTCAGATGGTCTCTAAATTCAAGGCTCTTGTTTTAATTGTCTTCAACTTCAATTTCAACTTGCGTAGGAGCAACTGATGGTCTGTTCCACAGTCAGCTCCTGGTCTTGTTTTAGCTGAAGATGTTGAGGTTCTTCATTGCCTCTTTCCACAAGTGTAGGTGATTTGATTCCTGTGCATTCCATCTGGTGAGGTCCATGTATATAGCCTCTGTTTATGTTGCTGGAAAAACGTATTTGCAATGAATAAGTCATTGGTCTTGCAAAATTCTATCATGTGCTCTCTGGCATCATTTCTATCACCAAGGCCATATTTTCCAGCTACCAGTGATTCTTTCTTTCTTTCTTTCTTTCTTTCCAACTTTAGCATTCCAATCACCAGTAATAATCAATACATCTTGATTGCATGTTTGGTCAATTTCTGACTGCAGAAGTTGGTAAAAATCTTCAATTTCCTCTTCTTTGGATTTAGTGGTCAATGTGTAAATTTGAATAATAGCAGTATTAACTGGTCTTCCTTGTAGTTGTATGGATATTATCCTATCACTGACAGCATTGTACTTCAGGACAGATCTTGAAACATTCTTTGTGACGATGATGCCACGTCATTCCTCTTCAATGTGTCATTCCCAGTAGAGTAGACCATGTTTGATTCAGAATGCCTTCTATCAGTCCATTTCAGCTCACTAATGCCTAGGATATTGAGCTCAATGCATTCCATTTCATTTTTGACAACTTCCAATTTTCCTATATTCACACTCTATACATTCCATGTTCCAATTGTTAATGGATGTTTGTGGCTGTTTCTTCACATTATGAGTTGTACCACATCAGCAAATGGAGGTCCTAAAAGCTTTACTCCATCCACATCATTAAGGTCGGCTCTACTTTGAGGAGGCAGCTCTTCCCCAGTTGTATTTTGAGAGACTTCTGACCTGAGGGGCTCATCTTCTGGCACTATATCAGACAGTGTTTCAGGGCTATTCATCAAGTTTTCCAGTAATATATCAGACAGTGTTTCACTGCTATTCATAAGGTTTTCACTGGCCAGTTCTTTGAGAAGTGGATGGCCCCTTCCTTCTTCTGAGTCTGTCTTAGTCTGGAAGCTTCACTGAAACCTGTGCACCATGGGTGACCCTGCTGGTATTTGAATTGCCAGTGGCTTAGCCTCCAGCCTCAGAGCAACATGCAAGCCACCACAGTGCAACAAACTGACAGTAGAGTGGTGTCAGTTGCTTTATTATAGCAAATATGTAATCCTAAGAGGCAGCATGTCTCTTCTCTCCTTCATTATTCCAATGTTTAATTGTTTTTTCTAATTTTATATCTTGGCACAACTTTCAAATTTTGTGAATATACACAGAAAGAGTTGTCACTGAATCAACTCTGACTTGGCAACCCCACTGCTCCATAAAGTTTTCCTTTCTTTAATGGTATGACTTTATTTTTTATTTGCATGTCATGTGCATTTCCATCTTTTGTCCATTTTGTGAGAAAAGTGCTGAGCTGCACTGAGATAACACCAGAAAAAGTCAGTTCAAAAGGGGAAATCATTCAATATGATACAGAGTTCCTTAAACTCTTTTTAAGTTGAAACAAATCAGTACTGCAGTCTTTTAATTCAGAGTCATGGCCTTTTTTTGAGAACATGGGTTTGGTCTTTGGAGTTCTGTGTCAGTTTCTCCCACATTGCACTGTTTATAACATCCAATTTCAGTCTCTTTAAAAGAGGGGTAGTGGAAAACATCTGAAGACAATGGAATGAAAAATCCTGGATTTTTATAAGTTATTGTTGTAACATTTTGCAAGTCTTACCTACATCAAAATTAACAGTAATTTTTAAGCATCCCATGTGTACTGACAAATGTGTACTGAATGTTTCCAAATTCATAGGGTTTTTCATTGCTGATGTTTTTGAAATAGATCACCAGGCCATTATTCTAAGGTGCCATTGTTGCTGTTGTTGTTGTTATGTGCCGTCGAGTTGGACCTGACTCATAGTGACCCTTCCTTGGGTTTCTGAGGCAGTATCACTATGGAAGTAGATTGCCCAACCTTCTTTCCGAGGAGTGGCTGGTGGGTTTGAACCGCCAGCCTTCTGGTTAGCAGTCAAGTACCTTAGGCACTATGCTACCAGAGGGACCCCCAAGTTTTGTGTACTTCATCCCAAATTCTCACCATTGTCGGGAAGGAAGTGACTTTTTATGTTTTCAGTGCTATGGATTCCTTTGGCAGTCTGGTGCCGTCTATGAACACCATCTCAGAATATTGTTTTAAAATGCAGAAAATATAATTGGAAATGCAGGTATCCTGTTAGGAAAAAAATTGATTTGTGATAGAATAGCATATGAGCACCTTCACCAGGACACTAGGTTAAAAAGTACAAAAAAGTAAGTATAAATGCAATTATGTCATCTTGAGGACTAAGGTGTACCTGGCCCAAGCCATGGTATTTCCAACCACCTCATATGTATGTGAAAGGTGGACAATGAATAAGGAACACTGAACAAGAATTGATGCATTTGAATTATGGTGTTGGCAAAGAATACTGAATATACCACAGACTGCCATAAGAATGAATTCTTCTATCTTGGAAGACGTATAGCCAGAATGCTCCTCAGAAAAGAGGATGGTGAGCCTTCATCGCATGTCCTTTGGACATGCTATCAGGAGGGGTCAGTCCCTGGAGAAGGACATCATACTTGGTAAAGTAGAGGTTCAGTGAAAAAGAGGAAGACCGTCAATGAGATGCATTGACACAGTGGCTACAACAGTGGGCTCAAGCACAGCAACAATTGTGAGGATGGCACGGGACTGGGTAGCGGCTCGTTCTGTTGTACACAGGGTTGCTATGGGTCAGAACTGACTGGACGGCACTTAACAACAGTGGCAAGTCTGATAACCCCTGTAATTTCAAAGCCATAAACAGCACAAATGATATTCTGAGTTGTCTGCAGCACCTAGAAGGGTGAGGAAAATACTTGTGTTTTCCTGATGACACAGGTTCTGCAGATCCAACTGTGGCTGGCTGCTCATATTCTTCACTGGGGGAGATGCTAAATACAGCAGGTAGAGGTCAGCGAGGGTGAAGAGGTGCTTTCCCCCGGCCCAGGAGACACCACGGAGGAGACGCAGAGGGAAGGGAGCAGTACCTTCTATGTTGCGGATGTTTTCCCGCCACGGTTCCAGGTGGGTCGTCATCTCGTGAGCCTTTTCTAGAAACCTCTTCCAAGACTTGCTGCTGTACTGTTTCCAGTGGTCCCACTCAGATAAATACTTCATTTGGGTCTCCTGAATGTCCCTGCATTAAAAACAAGTGTGACAACAACATCAACACTGTCAAGTCTCAGCATCAAATAAAACCCCAGCCCAGGGCACAGGGTCAAGCAAGCCATGACTCCATGAATCCAAGCCTGACCTCTCTCCGTACCCACACGAGATCAACTCCCTCCGTTCTATCTCCCACAACACCATCTTTACATAGCTTGCTGTCATTGAGTTGCAGCTGTTACATACACCAGAATGAACAACCCTGTTGCTCAATCCTGTGCCTTCTTCCCCACTGCTACTGTCCACTGTTGCAGCTATTATGCCATACCCTGAGAGCCCTCCAACAAGGGGGTTTCTCTTCCAGCACCGTAACGGACAGAGTTCTGTTGTGATCCTAGGGTTTTCACTGGCTAGTCTTCACATGCAGACTGCCAGGCCTTTCTTCCTAATACGTCTTAGTCTGGAAGCACTACTGACATGGCCACCATGGGTGAACCTGTTGGCATCTGAAATACCAATGGCATAGCTTCCAGCATCTTAGCAACACACAAGCCACCAGAGAATGACAGACTGACAGATGAGTAGTGGTTTCGTAACTACCCTCTTCAATTATGGGATCATTTGTCTGTCTCCCCTACCACACCGTAAGTTCTTTAAAGGCCAAGAATAGGTAGTATTCATTTCCAAGGTCCCTATGTGACTGGCACAGACAATCAGTCCCAGGATAGCTGTGGTTGGATCTATTTAGCGTAGTACCTAAGGCATCTGACTGTTAACCAGAAGGCTGGCAGTTCAAACCCACCAGCTACTCCTCGGAAGGAAGATTGGGCAATCTACTTCCGTAGAGATGTTGTTGTTGTTGCTATGTGCCATTGAGTTGGACCCAACTCATAGAGACCCCTCCTTGGGTTTCCGAGGCATATCACTACAGAAGTAGATTGCCTCATCTTCCTTCTGAGGAGTGGCTGGTAGGTTTGAACCACCAGTCTTCTGGTTAGCAGTCAAGTGCTACGTAGTCAAGCACTACGCTATCAGAGCTCCATCCATAGAGATACTGCCTCAGAAACCCAAGGAAGGGTAGCTATGAGTCAAACTGCCTCAACAGCAGTGAGTTTGGTTTTTTTTTTTTTATCTCTAGCACAACACCCACACCAGCTGCCGTACCATGGAGTCACTTCTGACTCATGATGACCTTGTGTGCTGCAGAGTAGAACTGCACTCCATAGGGTTTTCAATGGCTGTGATCTTTCAGGAAGCAGATTGCCAGGCCGTTTTGCTGAGGCACTCCAGGGACTCCAGCACAGCACCGTTCATATCATAGGTTTTCAATAAACATCTGCTACATAGTGAACTCGGAAGGAAGGTTGGGCGCTCTACTTCCGTAGTGATACTGCCTCGGAAACCCAAGGTGGGGTCGCTATGAATCGGGTCCGACTCGACGGCACATAATAACAACATAGTGAACACACAGTCCTCTGATTAAAGATGTTTACTGCTCCTGAATTGTTCAAATTGCTTTCCTGTAAGCATGGATTACATATATATATACTTAAATACTTTTATGGCTCAGCATTATTTACAGAAGCAGCAGCATAACCTTTAGGTTGGAAATTCAAGGCCTTTCTTAGCCAAGTCCTGGCTTTCAAGGCTCCCTGTCATCCTTCTAGGCCCACTCACATGAATGTCACACTGCTCCCTGAACCTGCCCTTGGAATTTTTGCATCTGCGCCTTTACACTCAGTGAACAACTACACATTCCTGCTCCGTTATAAAACTGAACCAGTTGCTATCAAGTCAGTTCCGACTCACAGTGACACCATGTGTGTGAGAGCAGAACTGGGCTCCAAACGACAAAGTCGGGCCTTTCTTCTGCGGGGCTCCCTTCAGTTAGCAGGCGAGCACACCAACCGTTTACAACACCCAGGGAGCCCTCCCTTCTTTACACTGCTATAAAACCCCTCTGACCTCCACCTCTGTCCTCCTTCCCTCTCTTGTAAGTTTGTTGACCACATACTTATGGGCCAGTCACTGGGATGATCAAGAGCAGGGTTTCTCAACCAGACATTAGGGAAAGATCACAGTCATTAAAAAAGGGTATGGTGTGCACGTCTACTCTGCAAAACATGGGGTCACCATGAGTCAGAAGTGAGTCAATGGCAACAGGCATCTATGGCCGCTTTCTGGTTGTAGCTGCAGAGTTCAGTACTTATAACAAACACCATGGGGCCCACAAAGCCTCAAATGTTTATGCTCCGGCCATTTACAGAAAAGTTGTCCGCTCTGAGTCTAGGGGAGAAACAGACATCCTGAATTCAGACAACCACAAGTCTCTGGGAAAGTGCTACAAAAGGGGGACACACTCAGGGAGCTGTGCAAACCCAGAGGAGGGGCCCCAAGTCCAAGGTGGGACTGGGAGGGGAGTAAAGGGAAGAGAAAGAGAAGGTGCTACAGTCAGGTGAGAGACGGAATGTGAGGAGTTAGGGAGAAGCAAACCACCTGTGCGGCTGGAGGGCAGCATAAACGCACTCAGGCTGAGTGTGGCCCCCACTCCTGCAGCAGAAGCTCTGCCAGACATCCCACAGCATCCGGCACCAGCATCCACCCTCCACCCATCCGCCCTCCGTTAGATAAGGCACTCCTCCAGGAAAGGGCCTTCCATTCAAAAGTTTCTTTGTACCTCACTTTCATCATCTGTCAAATACCCACAGCCGTCGAGTTAGATCTGACTCATAGCGACCCCTCCTTGGATTTCTGAGGCGGTATCACCATGGAAGTAGATTGCCCAACCTTCCTTCCAAGGAGTGGCTGGTGGGTTTGAACCGCCAGCATTCTGGTTAGCAGTCAAATGCCTTAGGCACTATGCCACCAAATGGGAGTAATAAAAATACCTACCCTTGGAGCTACTACCAAAAGGTCACCAGTTAAAATCCACAGTCACTCCATGGGAGAAAGATGTGGCAGTCTGCTTCCGTAAAGATTACAGGCTTAGAAACCCTATGAGGCAGTTCTACACCGTCCCATAGAGTTGCTGAGTCAGAATTGATTCAGCAGCAACAGGTTTGGATTTGGCTTCGGGTTTACCCTTGGAGCAGCTGTTCTCAACTAGAGACCATTTTGTCCCCTGACCCAGGCAACTGTGGACATTGTCAGGAGATATTTTTGGCTGTTACCACTGGGAGTCAGATACTCCTGGCATATAGATGCTGCTCACCACCCAAAAATACTCAGGACAGCCCCCCAACAAATTACCCAGCCCCATATGTCACTAGTCAATAGCACTAAGGTTGGGCAACCCCACCCCAGAGAACTGATATATGGATTAAAAGAAATAAAGAACTCGGAAAAACACCTGGTGGTATGTAAGTGGTCAATAACTATTTGCCATTAGTACTGTTGTGTCTTGCTCTTTGCCAGGTTCTAAGGATTTGCTGGTGAACCAAACAGACATGGGTCCTGCCCTCATTACTCCTGTAGTTTCATTTTTCAAACTAACATGGAAGCCCCTTGATGGAAGATAATATGTCTCTCTCTTAGGTGTCAAAGTTTAGTACAGAGCAATAGTATTTTATAAGAATTCAGAATATGTGAATCTGAAAGTGGGAAAGAATACATATGAATCAGTCTTATTTTATTCACATGTTTTTTTTGAGAATACAAAGCTCTCCAAGTTAAAATATAATAATACTAATCACCAGGGATCATGTTTTCAAAGCTACAGGGCACAGAGCATCATCAACTGTGATGACGCTACTGCCCTTGGTGGCCCCAGTTAGAGGGTTGAATGGAAACACCCACCCACCTCTGTCCTGACTGTTGGGTTTACAATTAAGCTTACCCAAGTAAGTTTGCATTTGTCCTTGGTTCCTGGGAGCTAATCTCTAAAACCTTGGAATTTCCCCAGCAGATGAAGTGCTTTTTATCTTTAAGGCCTCTAGAGCAGCCTGAGGGTTTCCACTAATGAGGGAACTCAGATGGGGGCTGGCTAGGCCAGAAGGACCACCTGGTGTTATCAGTGCAATCTCATGGGAGGGAGGCCTTAATAAAGGCTCTGGGCACCAACTGCCAAGGGCTTCCTGGTTGGTAAAAGACACCATGTGTGTGGGAGGGTAGCACATCTCTTTTTGAGACACAGAAGCTTCATGTGGGGAGCCCTCCCAGACCTTGCCCTATGCATCTCTTCATTTGTATCCTTTTTGCTATAATAAAACTAACTGTAAGCATAGTGCCCTCCATGAGTTCTGTGAGTCATTCTTGTGAATTATCCAACTCAAGGGACTAAGGGGAGCCAGCAGTTCAGTAGTGAGGGGGCTGGAGATCCCCAGCTATGGCTGGTATTGTGAAGGGGTAGAGAGGACCCCTATATTTGGAACTAAACTATTAGAACTGAAGGTGTCATGGGTACCCCCAAGCTTGTGGCTGGCATCTTTGGTCTTGGGCAAACATGGAAGTCTGGAGGACTGTGTCCTTTAACTGGCGAGCTCTGACCTCACTCCAGGAGGTTAAGGTCAGAGGAAGAAGTGCTATATGTGTAGTTAAAATGGAATTGAATTCCTTCCATTTTGTTGGTATCAGTGAAGTGGAGTCAATTGCATAGATTGATTTGATTTCCACACACTGACCAATGTGACAAATGATGTTTTGAATTCTGAGATCATGAAAGAGATGGCCAGCTATGTACCAAAATCCATTCTCCCCTTCTCTGGAAGACATTTCCTGTGGCGACATGATTAAGGGACTGGTCTTATGATGTGCTTGGACCACCACAATATAATGTTGTGCCAGTTATGAGCCTAGCCTTCTGCTTCTAAGGGCTCCTCTCTTGAACCTCAGCTGTACCCATGTGAACAAGCCCAAGCTAACATGGTGTAGGATGAGACCACATGGAGTGGGGATGATAGCCTTAGCTGAGGCCATCCTAGACTGGCCTAGGGCCAGCTCACCTCCAATTCAGACCAGCAGAGCCACCCGTCCAACCCAGTGCTGACCAACCAAAAGTAGGACTGCTCAGCCAGCCTATAGACTTGTACAATTGTTATTATTTTAAACTACTAAGTTTTGGAGTGATTTATTATGCAGTATAGCTAATTGGGGGAGCTCTGATAGCATAGTGGCTAAGGCACTTGACTGCTAACCAGAAGGTTGGCAGTTCAAACCCACCAGCCACTCCTCGGAAGGAAGATGGGGCAATCTACTTCCATAGTGATATGCCTTGGAAATCTAAAGAGGGGTCGCTATGAGTCAGGTCCAACTGGGCGACACAAACACTAACATAGCTAACTGGTGCACCCACTCCTCCACTGGTTAGATGCACTGGATGCAGATAACCATAAGACTTTTAGGAGGGGTGTTCAGAGTCACAAGATGGAAAGCACAGTACTTGGGTCCCTAAATGACTGCAGGGTCCTCTGCTGACTATTTAGCTCTGGTAGCATAGTGCCTAAGGCACTTGACTGCTAACCAGAAGGCTGGCGGTTCAAACCCACCAGCCACTCCTTGGAAGGAAGATTGGGCAATCTACTTCCTAGTGATACTGCCTTGGAAGCCCAAGGAAGGGTCACTATGAGTTGGATCCGACTCAACGGCACCTAACAACAACAACAGGTCAGCTCTTACGTGGTTGGATTTCTTTATCACGGCAGCTTAGATTCCCCTAAGTAACAAAGTTCTAATTAGGTGAGCTCTTCAGAAAACATACCCCATGCATAAAATGCACCTCCGACCAAAATGTACATCATTCAGCATCCAGGTGAGTATTGAACAAACCTTAGTCTCCGCTTCTCAGAGATGTTCAGTGCATAATTTCGAATGGACTGGCTATTGAGGTTTTCAGTAATCTCTCCCTCCAGGGGAGACCTGTAAGAGTCTGTCGGCTTCAGCAAAGTGCCACGTTGCTTGTCTCGTGTAAGGATGGTAGTCCTCCTGCGTGCAGTGGACTGGTAGCTTGGCAGTTCTTGAAGGAAGTTCACAGGTGGAGAAGAGAAGCAGCTGGAGTCCAGAGAGAGGCTCTCTGGGTAAGAGAAAGAAAACCATCACTCACTCCAGTGAGCTTGGGAGCCAAAAAACAAAACTTGGACAAGGAGATTTGGATTGCAGAGACCATAACTGAACTATGCAGATCATCATTAGCCTAGACTAGGGACAAAAGCACTTGGATCTCAATTATGTGTTTTATTTACCCAGATGGTGCTCAAGACAATGAAATCACATGTAAATGGTTCACTTTCTGCAGATGTGTTTGCAAAGATGCTTTAAGTTATATGGTATCTGAGTTCTACTGCTTGGGCACAGGCACTGGCTAAATGTGTGGCCATAAGCAAGTTATGTAAACTCTGTTCTTTATTTGTTAAATAGGCTAATATTTGCTCTAATCATCTACCCTTCACTGTGTAGGGTATAATGATGTATGTGATCAAACTCTGAAAAGCATAAAATGCTATGCAGATACATGGCAACAACAACAATAATTATAGCATTTCCTGAGCATTTCTGATGTGCCAGGGGCTGTGTCAAGAGCTTCCATATATTCATGGAATCTAGGCTGGAAGTGTGATCTGCTTAGACCGCAAGAATGCAGCGGAAGTGATGCAGTGCTAGTTCTAGGCCAAGACTTCAGTAGGTCCTCTTAGGACCCAGTTGCAGCCATATGAACAAGCCCAAGCTCTGCTGGAGGATGAGACTACTTGGAGCAGGGATGATTGCTGCAGCTGAGGCCATCCCAGACCAGCCTACAATCACCTGACCCCAGATAGTCACATGTACCGAAGTAGTACATCATCCCGATTTTACAGATGAGAAAACAGTCATTAATGGGTTCCCACTGTTATTACTATAAAGTCATAACCCCTGCCCAGGTCCTGCTTCATAGGACTCCTGCAGACTCTCTGGCCTCCAACAGGACTCCTGCAGACTCTCTGGCCTCCAGCTACACTTTTCAAGAATCTTCCCAGTCCTGAAGTGGGCCCTGCTCCTTCCACCTCAGCAGACTCGCATATGCTCTTCCCTCTGCCTGGAATGAACTTGCCTACTTCTTTACCCTATTAACTTCTACACCAACATCAGGTCAGTCCTCAGTGCCTCACTGCACTATTACAGGTGCCTTGTTACAATTTCCTACACTGTCAATCCTTTGTAGCACTTACCATAATTTGTAAATACATATTTGTATGACTGTCTGCCTTCCTCCTTGGACCATAAGTTCTCTGAGGGCAGGGACCATGTTGATTTGCTCATCACTGTGCCCCAGGACCTAACACTGTCCTTAGGACAGAGTAGGAGCTTGGAAAATACTTACTGGATGGATGGATATATGAATGAGAGACATTCCTAATTTTCCCATATTCAGAGAGTCTGTGAGGAGAGATGCTGGGAACAGAACCAGGTTTGCTTGACTCCAAAACTCATATTCTTTTCTTTCTAAGAATATTTTATTGTGTTTTCAGTGAAAGTTTAAGAGCAGCTTAAGTTCCCATTTAGTAATTTCTACACAAATGGTTCAGTGACATTAGCTACATTCTTCACAATACATGACCATTCTCATTATTTCTGTTCTGGTAGTTCTGTTTCTGTTAATCTAGTTCCTCTGCACCCTTATAGTCTAATCTTTGTTTGGTCTCATTTGTGGTTAGGTGTCATCAAGTTGCCTCCAAATCTTAGTGACCCTATGTACAACAGAATGAAACACTGCCCACTCCTGTGCCAGTTTCTCAATCCTTGTTGTACCTGAGCCCATTGTGGCAGCTACTGTGTCTACCTATTGAGGGCATCGAGGGCCTGCCCCTTTTTCTTTAACCCTCCACTTTACCAAATGTTTTGGTTACCTCGTGCCACTCTGACAGGAATATACCACAAATGGAATGGCTTTAACAAACAGGAGCTTATTCTTACAATTTGGAGGTGCGGTGTAGTAAATTACTTAGTGTGGCTTTTCTAGCCATAAGTCTTTGTAAACTCTGTGGTAGAATTTGCTGTGAGCAACCGAGGAGCTCCTGACTGTAGAAGTTATCCACCTGGGATATTTCTGTTGGGCGCAACACAAAGCAATGTTCTGGGAGATTCTTGTTCTCTCTCGGGTGCTTAGAATTCTGATGTTATGATTGGTTAGTTTGGCCACTGCCAGGCTCAAAAGGAGGCCTCCTAGAGGCAGAAGTCTCTCTCTGACTGCTGGTTGAGGAAGATGTGCTGCTGAAAGAGACATGTGCTCCTGAAAGAGACATGCATTGCTGAGTGAGACACTGAGGGACACTCACTGTTGGGCGAGAGACTGTGGGCTGGGAGAGAGACTGAGCGTTTTTCCTGAACTTGAATTGTAGCCTGGCGTTTCCCTAATAAACCCCGCAATCTGAGAGTTCTGTGTGGCCACTGCAGTGAATTATCGAATCCAGAAGAGAGATGGTGGGTGCTGTGGGAGGAACGGTTGGTGTCAGGGTTGGTGAAAGGGCTGGAAGGAGGCAGCATGTCTGGCCTCGCAGGAATAGGCCTTGGGCTATTGACAGTGATTCTGTCTTCCTCTTGTGGGGTTAGAGGAGGTCAGGAGATGTGGCCTCCCTGCCTTTTTTGCAGAGGAACTAGATTAACAGAAACAGAACTACCAGAACAGAAATAATGAGAATGGTCATGTATTGTGAAGAATGTAGCTAATATCACTGAGTTCAAAGTGCCAGGCTCTAGGGGCTGGGTGAAAGCCCCTCAGCCTTGGGCTTCAGCTCTGCCTCCTGTTCCTGGCCCACTGAAGCTGGAGGCTTTTCTTCTCTCAGCTGTTGGCTGCTGAGGCTGACAAACCCAAGGTTGACAAGTAATAAGGCACAGTCCTGATGCTACCAAACCACATAGCAGGCCATTAATTCAAGTCCATTAAAATTCCCAAGATCAGCAGAGCATGGCAGGTTGCTGAACAATGACCTGGCTACATGCAGGGTTCAAGAGTGCCATAAGCCAGAGACCATTCCCAAAGCTGCTTCTTATATATGGGAAGCAGACCACATCCCTACACCAGTTACTCAGATGCTTGTGGTAGCTCCCACCATGGAGCTGATTGCCAGTCCCATCATGGGGATTAACTACTACCAGCTGCCCAGCTGTTCAACCAGGCCCAGATAAGTTGACACACAACCTTAACTACCACACCAAGCATGATATCCTTCTCCAGGGAATGGTCTTCTGACAACATCACCAACGTAGGTGAAATGAAGTCTGGCTGTTCTCACTTCCAAGGAACATTCTGGCTGCACTTCTTCCACGACAGATTTCTTCGTTCCTCTGGAGTCCATGGTACCTTCAGTACTCTTCGCCAAGACCACAACTCATAAGCATCAACTCTTCTTCAGTCTTCCTTATTCAACGACCAGCTTTCACATGCACGTGAAATGAATGAAAATACCACAGGTTGGGTTAGGTGCACCTTAGTCTCCAAAGAGACTCTTCAGAGCTTTAAAGAGGTCTTTTGCAGCAGATTTGCCCAACGCAGTAAGTCATCTGATTTCTTGACTGTTGCTTCCATTGGTATTGATTGTGGAACCAAGTAATATGAAATCTTTGACAACGTCATTCTTCTCTCCATTTATCACAATGCTGCTTATTGATCCAGTAGTGAGGATTTTTGTTTTGTTCATGTTGGGGTTGTAATTCATATTGAAGACTATAGTCTTTAATCTTCACCAGTAAATGCTTGAAGTCATTGTTCTGGTTACCTAGTGCTGACAAGAATATACCACAAATGGGATGGCTTTAACAAACAGGAGTTTATTCTTACAATTTGGAGGCTTTAAGTCCAAGTTCAGAGTGTCAGGCTCTAGGGCCTGGGTGAAAGCCCTTCAACCTTGGGGTCCAACTTTGCCTCCTGCTCCCGGCCCACTGGAGCTAGAGACATTTCTTCACTCAGACAGCTGCTGGCTACTGAGGCTGAGAAGCCCCAAGGTTGACAAGTAAAAAGGCACAGTCCCGATGTTACCAAACCACATGGCAGGCCATTAACTTAAGTCCATTGTAAGGCCCAAGATCAGCAGAGCACAGCAGGCTGCTAAGCAATGACATGGCTACATGCAGGGTCCAAGCATGCCATAG